ATACCAGATGAAGAAGCTTTCCTCTTTTCCTTCCGACCAACTGCACCTCATCAAGGCCCGGAACTACACACAAAAAAAGAAAAGAAACCAAGAAAGAAAGAGAGAAAAAAGAAAGACTCTGAAATCCATCCAAAAGAAATTAGGCATAAGCACAGCTTTTTCATCAAGGGAGCGCTAATCAAGAGGAGGTGGGCATGGCATGTGTTAGCTCCACACAAAAGCCATGTAGCAGGGTGTGAAGGAGCTATTCAGGGTTTTGTCCTCCAGCACTGGAGCAGTGAGAGAAGCAGTGAGAGAGGCAAACTACAGAACAGTGGCCACAGGCTCTGGGAAACAGTCGAATCTGACAGGGGCTGGCTGACTGGCTTACTGGCTGGTTGGCTGACTGACTGGCTGGCTTACTGGTTGGCTAGCTAACTGACTGACTGGCTGGCTGGCTGGCTGATTATCTGACTGGCTGGCTGGCTGGCTGATTATCTGACTGACTGGCTGGCTGGCTGATTAGCTAACTGACTGGCTGGATACTGACTGCCTGGATCCTCATGTGTCTCTCTTCATTGTTGGGAAAGACCCATAACTAAGCATTTCACTGTTAGTCCACACCTGTTGTTTACAAAGTATGTGACAAATAACATTTTATATGATTTGGAGGAGACATCTTGGCCTCCAGCAATGGAGGAGACATGAGATGGAGGAGCGCGAGCTGCCAAACCCTAATCACAAACACAAACAAACCAATAGGAGCCCGGAGGTCCGTCATAAATGGCATCCCTTCTATAAATCAATGTCTGCAGTGTCTGTGTGAATGATCCCGTGATGGAATATCCAGGCAGGTAGATGACTTTGGCCAGGGTTCAGACATGCCTGTCTGTCCGGGTGGCAGCGGTAGGGCTGGGATGTGTCCCAAAATGGCACCCTATTCCTTTTATAGTGTACTACTTTAGACCAGGGCCCATAACTTTTATAGTGTACTACTTTAGACCAGGGACCAATGAGCCCTGTTTAAAAAGGGAATAGGGTGTCATTTGGGACGCACCCTGGGGGTTAGACCACACACAATTCACTGCACTGCCCCCTGGTGGTTCTAACTGTGACCACATGCTGGTCAGAGTGGTACGTACATTTTCCGATGCATTTAACATACTGTATATTGTGGTATATATACATTAGAAATGCATTCCATAATATATGTTGGAATGTATTGAAAATGTATTCTATATTAGCTATTTTTTTTTAAATACATTATTTGGCAAATGTTGTATATTCCACATGTATCTAAAAGTATATTTTAAATGTGTTTTTTTTTTTTGTATGGGACACACACACTACTCCCCCCCCCCCCCCCCCCCAGTAATCAGGGGACTGGGAGGCTCATTATACCAGATGAAGAAGCTTTCCTCTTTTCCTTCCGACCAACTGCACCTCATCAAGGCCCGGAACTACACACAAAAAAAAGAAAAGAAACCAAGAAAGAAAGAGAGAAAAAATTAAGAATCTGAAATCCATCCAAAAGACATGAGGCATAAGCACAGCTTTTTCATCAAGGGAGCGCTAATCAAGAGGAGGTGGGCATGGCATGTGCTCCACACAAAAGCCATGTAGCAGGGTGTGAAGGAGCTATTCAGGGTTTTGTCCTCCAGCAATGTGAGAGAAGCAGTGTGAGAAGCTTACTGGCTGGCTGATTAGCTGACTGACTGGTTGGCTGGCTGGCTTACTGGCTGGTTGGCTTACTGGCTGGTTGGCTTACTGGCTAGCTGATTAGCTGACTGACTGACTGGCTGGCTGGCTAATTAGCTGACTGACTGGCTGGCTGGCTGGCTGATTAGCTGACTGACTGGCTGGCTGGCTGGCTGATTAGCTGACTGACTGACTGGCTGGCTGGCTGATTAGCTGACTGACTGACTGGCTGGCTGGCTGATTAGCTGACTGACTGACTGGCTGGCTGGCTGATTAGCTGACTGACTGACTGACTGGCTGGCTGGCTGGCTGACTGACTGACTGACTGACTGGCTGGCTGGCTGGCTGATTAGCTGACTGACTGACTGGCTGGCTGGCTGATTAGCTGACTGACTGGCTGGCTGGCTGGCTGATTAGCTGACTGACTGACTGGCTGGCTGGCTGGCTGATTAGCTGACTGACTGGCTGGCTGGCTGGCTGATTAGCTGACTGACTGACTGGCTGGCTGGCTGATTAGCTGACTGACTGACTGACTGGCTGGCTGGCTGGCTGACTGACTGACTGGCTGGCTGATTCATTCTATAAAGCCATACATTCCTGAAGAATATAAGTTCTAAATACCTCATGACATTAGTAGTTCAATAGTCTCAGATCATAACCCAAAGTATAAGGTTGTGAACAAATGATGTATAGTTTCAAAACATGTTTATTAACCAAGTGGCAGGGCAGCTGATTGAATAACAAAATGACCACAGGTGAACAATCAGTGGTCATTATTGAATTAATCTAACAATAGATTACGGAAAACTACTAGGTTGCCTTGTAACACTTTTACTTGTACTCTTTTGGTAAATGCAACCATATATGTTCCATTGGAATGAGATCCATGGAAGGAGAGAAACGGAATGACAACTCTATAGAAAACTTTGGCAAAACGGCCCAAATATCACACCCTAAAAGATTCTTCATAGTCATATCTCATAAGGCTTGTGCATTCATTGGAGTGTGGTGAGTAACTGTTTGGCAATTCACATTTTCTCTACTAATGCAAAACAGACCTGTCAATGACCAAAGAGGAACAAATTAATTAATCCTGATTAGTATTTCAGCAAATCAATCAATCAATCAAATGTATTTTTAAAGCCCGTTTTACATCAGCAGATGTCACAAAGTGCTATAGAGAAACCCAGCCTAAAACCCCCAAACAGCAAGCGATGCTGTTCAGCCTAAAACCCCCAAACCGCAAGCGATGCTGTTCAGCCTAAAACCCCCAAACAGCAAGCGATGCTGTTCAGCCTAAATCCCCCAAACAGCAAGTGATGCTGTTCAGCCTAAAAAACCCAAACAGCAAGTGATGCTGTTCAGCCTAAAACCTCAAACAGCAAGCGATGCTGTTCAGCCTAAAAAAAACAAAACAGCAAGCGATGCTGTTCAGCCTAAAACCTCAAACAGCAAGCGATGCTGTTCAGCCTAAAACCCCCAAACAGCAAGCGATGCTGTTCAGCCTAAAACCCCCAAACAGCAAGCGATGCTGTTCAGCCTAAAACCCCCAAACAGCAAGCGATGCTGTTCAGCCTAAAACCCCCAAACAGCAAGCGATGCTGTTCAGCCTAAAACCTCAAACAGCAAGTGATGCTGTTCTAGGGAACAAAATGAGTCAGTTTGACGGTGATGCTCGCCAATAACGGCGACGCAGAAAATAAACAAATACATCTTCGGGAAGGGATGTTTTTCTGCTTTGGTCAATTATTTTGTATGTTAACAAATTGACTTTAATCTCTTTTTTTTTTTTTAAGTGCCTCGAGACAAATCTGGGTAGCGCCTGCACAAACCTCCCAAACCAAACATGGTGCTGAGTAGAGAGAGTATCTGAGTGGGTGTCAGACAGTGCCTATAAGGCAGCTGCAACGGCACGCAGAAACCATTCCAACATCTAAGGAACAAACATCCCCAGGCTGACTTTGAGAAGTAGCCGAAAAATTGACGAGCTTCACGGAGCCGACCCAGATAACATCCATAAAGCTGTCCACAGGGTCATGACAAAGCCCACCAACCCCCGATCCTGAGGGGACTGACTAAGAGACAGGCTGATTGATGACAGAGATGGTCTGATTGAAGACACAGAGACTGGCTGATTGAAGTGACAAGCCAACCCTAGAAGCTATCCTCTAGGTGCATGTGGCCAGGGTCTGATTGAAATCTATATGTGGCTTGTAATGGAGGGAGAACGGACAAGAGACAGGGACAGAGAGAGAGGGAGGGACAGAGAGAGGGAGGGACCAGAGGAGAGGGGAGAGACAGAGAAGAGGGAAGAGAGGGCGAAAGAGAGAGGAGGACGAGAAGAGAGAAAGGAGGGGAGGGAAAAGAGGACAAGAGAGGGGCAAGAGAGAGGAAGGACAGAGAGAGAGGGAGAGACAGAGAGAGAGAGGAGAGAATAAGAGGGGGGAAACAGGAGAGAAGAGGAAACAGAGAGAGATGGATAAGAGAGAAAAGGGGGAAAGAATAGAGTGAGTGACGAGAGGGATTACAGAGAGAGAGGGGCAGATAAGAAAAACCCAAAAAGGGAGACATATAGATTTAACATAATAATGGTGTTCCCAAAGATATGGACATAAATTTAATTTGGAAAAGATGGAGCGAATATTAACATTAGAGGGTTTCCCAAAGATATTTATCAAAGTTTTAAATAGTATTAAGAAACCGATTGAGGAAAAAATAAGAGTACCAATAGGGTTACAGATATATAAATGATAGTATAGGAGACAAATTATACATAAGAGTAGTACAGAAAAGGGTTCGGGATAAGAGAGTTGGAACGAAGAGGAGGACAGAGAGATTTGGGTTTGACGAATATATTTGGGCCCATAGTATTTTGAGACATTATATGGGGGTACTATAAGATTTACTAGAAAAGAGGAAAGAGATTTGGACATAGACAGATTTAAAACCAGAGATAGGAAACATGAGAGTAAAGCTTTAAAGAATTTTACTAGAAATTAATCAGATGAAGAGCCCAAGATATTATGACAGTAAGTTTTTTTAAATTTTTTTTTTTGCCCTTTTTTTCATTTTTTTACAAATGATTATTATTAGAAGTTTTCTTTATAAAATATATCGGGACGAATATAGGAAGCATGAATATTTTGACAAGATAGATAGATTACATAAAGAATTTCAGAATAATTTTTTTCATGATTTTAAAGACTTATATTTTACTAAGAAATTTACCCAGTTTTCCCAGGTTTTACGACTATATTTATTTAAAAATTTACCCGGGTCACAGAATAAATTTACAAGATAGTTTCATAAAACTTCAAAGAGAGATGTTGAGGAGAGAGGGGAGAAACGTTACTTATAGTGAAGGTAGAGATAAACTTTCCTGTAATTGCAAGTGTAACTGCATAGAAACCTAAACATTATTATTTGCCTCTCAGCTTCCTATCAAATCTCAACATTTCAAACAGAATCCTAAGAAAATTAACAACAATGACAAATGTGTTTGATGAAGAATGCAAAAACTAAGAAAGAAATTGAGAACCTGTCTAACCAAAAACATAGAGACCCAGAAAACCTGAGGCCTTCACTATGGTGAATCACTAAACAATACAGAAATACACTACAGACAAAGAGGGAACAGCATGTCAGAAATCAGCTCAATGTATGAAGAATACCATAGACTCTAACCACGTCTGGAAAATTGGAAAACACTAGAAGAAACAACAACACGAAGAGTATCTATCCAAACGGAGATGTATGGGGTAACCACTTCTCCAGTCTTGTTGGCCTTATAACAAAGACAAACAGCAAAAACATATACATGATCAAATACAAATCTTAGAATCAACTATTAAAGACTACCAGAACCCACTGGATTCTCCAGTTACATTAAATGAACTACAGGACAAAATACAAACCCTCCAACCCAAAAAGGTATGTGGTGTTGATGGTATCCTAAAATATACAGACCACAAATTCCAATTGGCTATACTTAAACTCTTTAACATCATCCTTAGCTCTGGCATCTTCCCCAATATTTGGAACTAAGGACTGATCACCCCAATCCACAAAAGTGGAGACAAATTTGACCCCAATAACTACTGTGGGATATGCATCAACAGCAACCTTGGGGAAATCCTCTGCATTATCATTAACAGCAGACTAGTTCATTTCTCAGTGAAAACAATGTACTGAGCAAATGTCAAATGGGCTTTTTACCAAATTACCGTACGACAGACCCCTGCACACCCTAATTGACAAACAAACAAACCAAAACAAAGGCAAAGTCTTCTCATGCTTTGTTGATTTCAAAGAAGCTTTTGACTCAATTTGGCATGAGGGTCTGCTATACAAATTGATGGAAAGTGGTGTTGGGGGAAAAACATACAACATTATAAAATCTATGTACACAAACAGTGTGCGGTTAAAATTGGCAAAAAACAGACACATTTCTTTCCACAGGGCCGTGGTGTGAGACAGGGATGTAGCTTAACCCTCTTCAACATATATATCAGTGAATTGGCGAGGGCACTAGAACAGTCTGCAGCACCCGGCCTCACCCTACTAGAATCTGAAGTCAAATGTCTACTGTTTGCTGATGATCTGGTGCTTCTGTCACCAACCAATAAGGGCCTACAGCAGCACCTAGATATTCTGCACATATTCTGTCAGACCTGGGCACTGACAGTAAATCTCAGTAAGACAAAAATAATGGTGTTCCAAAAAAGGTCCAGTTGCCAGGACCACAAATACAAATTCCATCTAGACACCATTGCCCTAGAGCACACAAAAAACTATACATACAGTGGGGGAAAAAAGTATTTAGTCAGCCACCAATTATGCAGGTTCTCCCACTTAAAAATATGAGAGAGGCCTGTAATTTTCATCATAGGTACACGTCAACTATGACAGACAAATTGAGGAAAAAAAATCCAGAAAATCACATTGTAGGATTTTTAATGAATTTATTTGCAAATTGTGGTGGAAAATAAGTATTTGGTCACCTACAAACAAGCAAGATTTCTGGCTCTCACAGACCTGTAACTTCTTCTTTAAGAGGCTCCTCTGTCCTCCACTCGTTACCTGTATTAATGGCACCTGTTTGAACTTGTTATCAGTATAAAAGACACCTGTCCACAACCTCAAACAGTCACACTCCAAACTCCACTATGGCCAAGACCAAAGAGCTGTCAAAGGACACCAGAAACAAAATTGTAGACCTGCACCAGGCTGGGAAGACTGAATCTGCAATAGGTAAGCAGCTTGGTTTGAAGAAATCAACTGTGAGAGCAATTATTAGGAAATGGAAGACATACAAGACCACTGATAATCTCCCTCGATCTGGGGCTCCACGCAAGATCTCATCCCATGGGGTCAAAATGATCACAAGAACGGTGAGCAAAAATCCCAGAACCACACGGGGGGACCTAGTGAATGACCTGCAGAGAGCTGGGACCAAAGTAACAAAGCCTACCATCAGTAACACACTACGACGTCAGGGACTCAAATCCTGCAGTGCCAGACGTGTCCCCCTGCTTAAGCCAGTACATGTCCAGGCCCGTCTGAAGTTTGCTAGAGTGCATTTGGATGATCCAAAAGAGGATTGGGAGAATGTCATATGGTCAGATGAAACCAACATTGAACTTTTTGGTAAAAACTCAACTCGCCTTTTTGGAGGACAAAGAATGCTGAGTTGCATCCAAAGAACACCATACCTACTGTGAAGCATGGGGGTGGAAACATCATGCTTTGGGGCTGTTTTTCTGCAAAGGGACCAGGACGACTGATCCGTGTAAAGGAAAGAATGAATGGGGCCATGTATCGTGAGATTTTGAGTGAAAACCTCCTTCCATCAGCAAGGGCATTGAAGATGAAACGTGGCTGGGTCTTTCAGCATGACAATGATCCCAAACACACCGCCCGGGCAACGAAGGAGTGGCTTCGTAAGAAGCATTTCAAGGTCCTGGAGTGGCCTAGCCAGTCTCCAGATCTCAACCCCATAGAAAATCTTTGGAGTGAGTTGAAAGTCTGTGTTGCCCAGCGACAGCCCCAAAACATCACTGCTCTAGAGGAGATCTGCATGGAGGAATGGGCCAAAATACCAGCAACAGTGTGTGAAAACCTTGTGAAGACTTACAGAAAACGTTTGACCTGTGTCATTGCCAACAAAGGGTATATAACAAAGTATTGAGAAACTTTTGTTATTGACCAAATACTTATTTTCCACCATAATTTGCAAATAAATTCATTAAAAATCCTACAATGTGATTTTCTGGAATTTTTGTCTGTCATAGTTGACGTGTACCTATGATGAAAATTACAGGCCTCTCTCATCTTTGTAAGTGGGAGAACTGGCACAATTGTTGGCTGACTAAATACTTTTTTCCCCCACTGTACCTCTGCCTTAACATCAGCACCACAGGTAACTTCCACAAAGCTGTGAACGATCTGAGAGACAAGGCAAGAAGGGCCTTCTATGACATCAAAAGGAACATAAAATTCGACATTCCAATTAGGATCTGGGAAAAAATACTTGAATCAGTTATAGAACCCATTACCCGTTATGGTTGTGAACCAATAATTCACAAAATGGGACAAACACCAAATTGAGACTCTGCATGCAGAATTCTGCAAAAATATCCTCAGTGTACAACAAAAAACACCAAATAATGCACGCAGAGCAGAATTAGGCCGATACCCGCTAATTATCAATATCCAGAAAAGAGCCGTTAAATTCTACAACCACCTAAAAGGAAGCAATTCCCAAACCTTCCATAACAAAGCCATCACCTACACAGAGACGAACCTGGAGAAGAGTCCCCTATGCAAGCTGGTCCTGGGGCTCTGTTCACAAACACAAACAGACCCTACATAGCCCCAGGACAGCAACACAATTAGACACAACCAAATCATGAGAAAACAAAAAGATAACAAAAATACATAGCAAACTAGAATGCTATTTGGCCCTAAACAGAGAGTACACAGTGACAGAATACCTGACCACTGTGACTGACCCAAACTTAAGGAAAACTTTGACTATGTACAGACTCAGTGAGCATAGCTTTGCTATTGAGAAAGGCCGCCGGAGGCAGACCTGGCTCTCAAGAGAAGACAGGCTATGTGCACACTGCCCACAAAATGACGTGGAAACTGAGCTGCACTTCCTAACCTCCTGCCAAATGTCTGACCATATTAGAGACATATTTCCCTCAGATTACACAGACTCACAAAGAATTCGAAAAACAAACCCAATTTTGACAAACTCCCATATCTATTGGGTGAAATACCACAGTGTGCCATCACAGCTTAAATATTTGTGACCTGTTGCCACAAGAAAAGGACAACCAGTGAAGAACAAACACCATTGTAAATACAACCCATATTTATGTTTATTTATTTTCCCTTTTGTACTTTAACTATTAGCATATAATATGACATTTGAAATGACTTTATTATTTTGGAACTGCAATGTTACTGTTACATTTTTATAGTTTATTCATTTTGTTTTTTTCTATTTCCACTTGCTTGCATGTTAACATATTGTTCCCATGCCAATTAAAGCCCTTAAATTGACTTCAATTTGCGATAAGAGATCAGAGAACAGGATATCAGAAGCGAGGAGAGATGAGAATAGCTAGACTACTATAAGCAAGAGCAGTAGACAGAGGAGAGAGCGAGAAGAGAGAGATAGAAAAGAGAGACAGAGAGAGAAGAGAGACAAGAGAGAGAGAGAGAAAGAGAATAGAGACAGAGCAGAGAGTAGAGAGACAGAGGAGAAGAGGAAGAGAGAGAGAGATAAAAGAGACTAGAGACAAGAAGAGAATAGAGATGAGAGAAGAGAAAGAGTAGACAGATGAGAGAGAATAGAAGATGAGGAGAGACGAGAGGAGAGTAGAGAAGAGAGAGAGAGAGAGAAGAGAGAGGATGAGAGAGAGATGGTCGAGATCGAGAGAGAGAGAGAGATATAGATAAGCATGAGAGAGGACAGGAGAGCATAGGGAGAGAAGACAAAGAAGAGACTAGAGAGAGCAAATGATAGAGATAGAGGAAGAGATAGAAGAGAGACAGAGAGAGATAGAAGATATGTGTAAGAGAGACATAGAAGAATAAGAAAGAGAGAGAGAGAGAGAGAGATGAGAGAAAAGAAGGACTAGCAAGGGAAGAAAGACAGACACCAAGAGAAAAGATATAGAAAACAGAAAGAGAGGAAGAGAAGGTGGTTTTGCGAGAAGAGAAGGGGGGAGGAAAAATGTAGGGGGCAGGGTGGGTAGAAGAGAGGGGGGGGGGGAGAAATTTTGGGGGGGAGAAGGTGGGAGGAGGGGGGTTTGGGGAGGGGGAGAAGGGGGTGAGGAAGAAAGGGGGGTGAGGAGAGAAGTTAGGGTTTGGGGGGGTGGGGGAAGGGGAAGGAAAGGGGGGGTGAGGGGGGGAAAAACCCGTGGGTGAGGAGAGTGCAGGGTGGGTGAGGGAGGGAGAGCAGGGTGGGTGAGGGAGAGCAACGTGGGTGAGGGAGAGCAGGGTGGGTGGTCTCTGTTGAAATTGTATGGATGTGGGCCTTGCCCCATCAAAGGCCAGTCTATACACATAAACGGTACATAACAATATGTGGGTATAGCAGTCGACAGAAAGATGGAGATTGCAGATGTGCATGCGTCAGATCCGTTATGCTGATAAATTGGAGAAAAATGTATTGCTTTTGGTAGGAGTCAATGCACCATGCTATCAATGTTTGTGTTTGCTACTCTTGATCGGGCTATGATTATTTCAACACTGGGAAAGTACATAAAAAGTGCCAAAGGGACTAATTCATCTAATTTAATCTCCTTAATTGCAGCCATTAGATGTAACTCTTTATCACACACACACGCACACAAACACACAAACACACACACTCCGACATATCCCCCAAACTAGAAAATGTAAGTTGCCGTTAGAGGCTAGCTGTTGGCTGATTGACGTGACCAGCTAACCCTAGAAGCTATCCTCTTGGTGCATGTGGCCAGGGTCTGATTCAAATCAACATATGGCCTATAATGGAGCCAGTCACATCTCATTACATGGAAAATTACAGAAACGTGAACCCAAATCTTGTTCGGACCTGAAAAAGGGGCGGACTGGGACCAGAAATCGGCATTTTGAACACAACGGCCCAGTGTTTTCCTTTAGGCCCGCATTATAAGCCAAGTTAGACAGGCCCACCGGGCTAAAAATGGACCAGCCCATATGGCATTTGCCTGAAATGCCAGATGGCCAGTCCGGCCCTGACCTGAAAAGCTCAGGGAGTGAATCATTTCCATTGGCTATTAGTTGTTCTGTATGTCACCCCCAATTTGTGATGGATGAGGTTGACAATCGTCTTCCAAGCATATATTTTTGTGTTTCTGTTTCGTATAATAAACAGTACTCGGTGGATCGTTGATGTTACGTTTGAGATCTAAATTAGCTACTACAGATCCGAACTGTGTTTATCTGATTGAAATAGTGATAACCGGGAGTGTTCTTGTTTTCTTGGTTCTAGCTGTGCTTGTGTCAGGGAGCGAGCTCTGGGAGGTACCCACAGCCCCCTTAGGATTTTCATCCAACCATACAACCAGCCTGGAATGGGAGCCACAGTGTCAGTATCGCCACCTGCAGGACGGCGTCAGAATCACAGCCGACATTCCCCCAAAACTGGAGGGCAACTGGGTGTCAACCAGGCAAGTTCTCTGCATTGTCCAAAGAAAGGCTCTGAATAGTCACTTTTTTCTAATATATCAGCTTCAGCCAGTGTTGGGGAAGCTACTCTGAAAATATAGTTTACCAAGCTACCAATTACTTCACACTGGAAGAAGTTAAGCTAAACTAAAGTTACTTTGAAAAATGAGTTCACTATAAACTACTTTGTGAAAAATTATAATATCTACATTTGAAATGTCATAGACTTACGGGAGTCCAGAGAGGACATGAATAAAAAAAGATTTACCGCGTTATGTCGACATCACAACTTATTTATCTCATGTTCTCGACATAACAAAAATTGTTTTGTCGAGATCACGAGATAAACTCTATAAATAGGAGTGGAAGTATTAAAGATAGATTGACAGTATGGCAGAGGTGGCAGAGCCCACGGTGGATCAGTGCATACGTTTTTATTGATTACTACACTAAGGGATGTTACATTTCATGCTAACATCATGCTTTAATTTGTGTTTGGAGTTCATTATCAGTTTATAAGTTAGAATGTTAGCATGGTAAATGTCCCTTACCTTGAGCTAAGAGTTGGTGGGGGGAACTAAGCCCTCGTGGAGCATTTAAGCCCTGGACTATGCCTGACAGGCAACCCTGTCTCCCAACATGTGTGCCACCCACAAGACCACAGCCAATCGCATGCAAGCAACAACGCAGCTAACTTGGCTAGTCTTGTGAGCGAGCGAGCTAGATAGTTAGCTAGGTAGTCTTGTTAGCTAGATAGCTAGCTAGCTAGCTTGTTATCTATGCTTGTTGTTAGCAGTGGTGGAAAAAGTACCCAGTTGTCATACTTGAGTAAAAGTAAAGATACCTTAATAGAAAATGACTCAAGTAAAAGTGAAAGTCACCCAGAAAAATACTACTTGAGCAAATGTCTAAAAGTATTTGGTTTTAAATATACTTAAGTATCAAAAGTAAATGTAACTGCTAAAATATACTTAAGTATCAAAAGCAAAAGTATAAATCATTTCACACTCCTTATATTAAGCAAACCAGACGTCACAATTTTCACCCACTCTGAACTATATGCATCAGCCTATAAAGCACTGACCGCTAATCAATCAATCACATTTATTTATAAAGCCATTTTTACATCAGCAGTCACAAAGTGCTTATACAGAAACTAAGCCTAAAACCCCAGAGAGCAATCAATGCAGACGTAGAAGCACCGTGGCAAAGAAAAACTCCCTAGAAAGGCTGGAACCTAGGAAGAAACCTAGAGAGGAACCAGGCTCTGAGGGGTGACTAGTCCTCTTCTGGCTGTGCCGGTGGGAGATTATAAGAGTACATGGCCATTAAGGCCAGATCGTTCTTAAAGATGTTCAAACGTTCATAGATGACCAGCAGGGTCAAATAATAATCACAGTGGTTATAGAGCGTGCAACAGGTCAGCACCTCAGGAGTAAATGTCAGTTTGCTTTTCATAGCCAAGCATTCAGAGGGAGAGAGAGAGAGAGAGGGGGGGGGGGGGGGGGGGGGGGGGGGGTCATAACAGCAAGTCCGGGACAAGGTAGCACGACCGGTGAACAGGTCAGGGTTCCATAGCCGCAGTCTGAACAGCAGAAGAGCTTTACCTATGAAACAGCCTACAAGGTATCATCCGGACATCAGCCTCTGAGTCTGCCATTGAATCTGATCAGCCTGTTGGGAATGGAGCTCACCCACTCTGTACATTTAAATATTATCCATAAAACATGAAGGGTGCCTTATAATTGCATACATCAGTTATGCAAGCTAATAACCAGCATAGATAACAAGCTAGCTTGCTAGTTAGCTAGTTAACAAGATTACCTAGCTAACCTGCTAGCTCACAAGACTAGCCAAGTTAGCTGCGTTGTTCCTTGCATGCGATTGGCTGTGGTCTTGGGGGCGACACACAGCCTGGGAGACAGGACTGCCTGTCAGGCATCAATCAGGGCTTAAATGCCCCACGAGCCCATTGCGATCAAAGCAGCCACAGGGCTCCTTGATGAGGTGGTTATCATGCAACTGAACAAATAAATTGATAATGCGTGGTACTTTTGATTATCTCTTGATCTCAACAAAACAACTTTTGTTACGTCGTGATGAGAAAATTATCTTGTGATCTCGACAAAACAACTTTTGTTATGTCGTGATCACTAGAAAATTATCTTGTGACCTCGACAAAACAACTTTTGTTATGTCGTGATCACCAGAAAATGATCTTGTGACCTCGACAAAACAACTCATGAGATAGATAAGTCGTGATCTCGACATAACGAGGGAACAATGTTTTTTTATTCAAATGTCCTCTCTGGACTTCCGTATAGACTACAAATTGCAAGAACACATCACTCTGGAGTCAGATGTTATTAACAGAATGTGTAGTTAGGCCTATTAAACACAAAAACGTTTCAAGCGAGAATTAGGAAGGTCTGATGCTGAGAAAGAAAGGAAATTCTTACCTACTTCACCCATATTTTATTTTTGTAAAAAACTAAATAATGTGTAGTTCCAGTAGTTAGCAACATCGCTACATGGCGAAAAAGTCATTAACTACCGGAGACACTACGAAGAGTTGAATTTAGTTAAACTACCACCAAGCTACTGCAAAATGTAGTTACATTACTAGTTGAACTACACGTAGTTCACTACTCCCGAACACTGGCTTCAGGTCATGTAACATGTCCGGGGCAACCAAATGTAATGATAAATAGGGAAGCTCTTCTATATGCCTTCTTTGGCTTTGTGAAGGTGCTGCTCGGTGTTGGTGTCCTCCCAGGTGATTAAGACATCATTGTTTGCGCAACAATTCCATATCGTGAATTGATATATCAATGAACCAATCATATATCCATCCATCCATAATTGTAGTAATTCATTAATCCATCCATCCATCCATCCATCCATCCATCCATCCATCATTTCATTCATCCCATCGTTTCATTCAATAATTTCATTTCAACCATCTGTCTTCAATCTCTTCATCCCCTGTAGATGTGAAGTTCGGCCTGGCCCTGAGTTCCTGACCCGTTCCTACACCTTCTACCCGAGCCGCCTGTTCAAGGCCCTGCAGCACTATTACACTGACAGCGGGTGCGAGGAGCCCACCTACTCTCTGGTGGTCCGGGGCAAGCTCCGTCTGCGCCAGGCGTCCTGGATCACCCGGGGTGCCACCGAGACGGAGCACCACCTCCACAAAGTGGGCATCGTCATCCACAGCCAAGGCGCCATGCACCGGCCGGCCGCCCGTCTACCCCATGTGTGTGTGGGCCTCACCCTGGGCGGCATGGTGCCCGGGCGCCTCTACGAGCTGTACAACGCCCAGGCAGGGAGGGACTGTCTGGGTGCCCTGGGGTTCTCAATGATGGAACTGGGCTTGGTGAGAGTGGAGACCCAGCATCAGCCCCATGGAGGTCAGGTTCAGGAGCTCTTCCTTGGGGACGTGCACACGGATTGGACAAAGAGGACGTACTATCGACCAGCGGGTTACCAGCAACCACTGCAGAATGCTATGGTGACAATATGAACACTCCATTAAGATAGTGTACAGTTTACTCCAATTAGGGGAGCGGTGGTAGGGTTAGGGGGAAATAATTAAGGAAAATATATGTAAATAATATATGTATATGTACAGTATACTCATTCAAGTGTTTTTCTATATTTATATAAAAAAAAGTGTACCTTGTAGAATAATAGTGAAGACATCAAAACAATGAAATAACAAATATGGAATCATGTAGTAACCAAAAAAGTGTTAAACAAATCAAAATATATTTTATATTAGAGATTCTTTAAATAGCCACCCTTTGCCTTGATGACAGCTTTGCACACTCTTGGCATTCTCTCAACCAGCTTCATGAGGTAGTCAAGGTGTGTGTGTGTGTGTGTGGGGGGGGGGGGGGGGGGGGGGGGGGGGGGATAGAAGATAGAAGATAGCCCTATTTGGTATAAGACCAAGACCATATTATGGCAAGAACAGCTCAAATAAGCAAAGAGAAACGACAGTCCATCATTACTTTAAGACATGAAGCTTAGTCAATACGGAACATTTCAAGAACTTTGAAAGTTTCTTCAAGTGCAGTCGCAAAAACCATGAAGCGCTATGATGGAACTGGCTCTCATGAGGACCGCCACAGGAATGGAAGACCCAGAGTTACCTCTGCTGCAGAGGTTAAGTTCATTAGAGTTACCAGCCTCAGAAATTGCAGCCCAAATAAATGCTTCACAGAGTTCAAGTAACAGACACATCTCAACATCAACTGTTCAGAGGGGACAGTGTGAATCAGGCCTTCATAGTCGAATTGCTGCAAATAAACCACTACTGAAGCACACCAATAAGAAGAAGAGACCTGCTTGGGCCAAGTAACATGAGCAATGGACATCAGAACGGTGGAAATGTGTCCTTTGGTCTGGAGTCCAAATTTGAGATTTTTGGTTCAAACCGCTGTGTCTTTGTGATACGCAGTGTGGGTGAACAGATGATCTCTGCATGTGTAGTTCCCACTGTAAAGCATGGAGGAGGAGGTGTTATGCTGTGGGGGTGCTTTGCTGGTGACACTGTCTGTGATTTATTTAGAATTCAAGGCACACTTAACCAGAATGCCTACCACAGCATTCTACAGCGATACGCCATTCTATCTGGTTTGGGCTTAGTGGGACTATCATTTGTTTTTCAACAGGACAATGACCCAACACACCTCCAGGCTGTGTAAGGGCAATTTTACCAAGAAGGATAGTGATGGAGATGACCTGGCCTCCACAATCCCCCGACCTCAACCCAATTGAGATGGTTTCGGATGAGTTGGAAGGCAGAGTGAAGGAAAAGCAGCCAACAAGTGCTCAGCATATGTGGGAACTCCTTCAATACTGTTGGAAAAGCATACCAGGTGAAGCTGGTTGAGAGAATGCCAAGAGTGTGCAAAGCTGTCATCAAGGCAAAGGGTGGCTATTTGAAGAATCTCAAATATAAAATATATTTTGATTTGTTTAACACTTGTTTGGTTACTACATGATTCCATATGTGTTATTTCATAGTTTTGATGTCTTCACTATTATTCTACAATGTAGAAAATAGTAAATATTAAGAAAAACCCTTGAATGAGTAGGTGTGTCCAAACTTTTGACTGGTACTGTATATATATTTACCAAAAAATATATGGGGAATTGGAAATGATGCAGACAATTACATTGATGGAAGCTACAATCTATCTGCAATATTAAAGCTGATCTACCCCCTAAAATATATATACAGTGGGGAGAACAAGTATTTGATACACTGCCGATTTTGCAGGTTTTCCTACTTACAAAGCATGTAGAGAGGTCTGTAATTTTTATCATAGGTACACTTCAACTGTGAGAGACGGAATCTAAAACAAAAATCCAGAAAATCACATTGTATGATTTTTAAGTGTTTATTTTGCATTTTATTGCATGACATAAGTATTTGATACATCAGAAAAGCAGAACTTAATATTTGGTACAGAAACCTTTGTTTGCAATTACAGAGATCATACGTTTCCTGTAGGTCTTGACCAGGTTTGCACACACTGCAGCAGGGATTTTGGCCCACTCCTCCATACAGATCTTCTCCAGATCCTTCAGGTTTCGGGGCTGTCGCTGGGAAATACGGACTTTCAGCTCCCTCCAAAGATTTTCTATTGGGTTCAGGTCTGGAGACTGGCTAGGCCACTCCAGGACCTTGAGATGCTTCTTACGGAGCCACTCCTTAGTTGCCCTGGCTGTGTGTTTCGGGTCGTTGTCATGCTGGAAGACCCAGCCATGACCCATCTTCAATGCTCTTACTGAGGGAAGGAGGTTGTTGGCCAAGATCTCGCGATACATGGCCCCATCCATCCTCCCCTCAATACGGTGCAGTCGTCCTGTCCCCTTTGCAGAAAAGCATCCCCAAATAATGATTTTTCCACCTCCATGCTTCACGGTTGGGATGGTGTTCTTGGGGTTGTACTCATCCTTCTTCTTCCTCCAAACACGGCAGGGTGGAGTTTAGACCAAAAAGCTATATTTTTGTCTCATCAGACCACATGACCTTCTCCCATTCCTCCTCTGGATCATCCAGATGGTCATTGGCAAACTTCAGATGGGCCTGGACATGCGCTGGCTTGAGCAGGGGGACCTTGCGTGCGCTGCAGGATTTTAATCCATGACGGCGTAGTGTGTTACTAATGGTTTTCTTTGAGACTGTGGTCCCAGCTCTCTTCAGGTCATTGACCAGGTCCTGCCGTGTAGTTCTGGGCTGATCCCTCACCTTCCTCATGATCATTGATGCCCCACGAGGTGAGATCTTGCATGGAGCCCCAGACCGAGGGTGATTGACCGTCATCTTGAACTTCTTCCATTTTCTAATAATTGCGCCAACAGTTGTTGCCTTCTCACCAAGCTGCTTGCCTATTGTCCTGTAGCCCATCCCAGCCTTGTGCAGGTCTACAATTTTAACCCTGATGTCCTTACACAGCGCTCTGGTCTTGGCCATTGTGGAGAGGTTGGAGTCTGTTTGATTGAGTGTGTGGACAGGTGTCTTTTATACAGGTAACGAGTTCAAACAGGTGCAGTTAATACAGGTAATGAGTGGAGAACAGGAGGGCTGCTTAAAGAAAAACTAACAGGTCTGTGAGAGCCGGAATTCTTACTGGTTGGTAGGTGATCAAATACTTATGTCATGCAATAAAATGCAAATTAATTACTTAAAAATCATACAATGTGATTTTCTGGATTTTTGTTCTCTCACAGTTGAAGGGTACCTATGATAAAAATTACAGACCTCTATATGCTTTGTAAGTAGGAAAACCTGCAAAATCGGCAGTGTATCAAATACTTGTTCTCCCCACTGTATATATCTTGTACATGCAGATCAAGGCAGGGATTTTAATGAAATGGTATCTCAGGACATTATAAAGAAATGTAGTCATTCTCTCTCTATCTTTATCTGATGTTGAATGCCTTCCATGGTGATAAACTAACTAACTCAAGCATAAAACTGTGTCCCAATATCCGAGCATACTATTTAGCATGTCTGGTCAATACAAGGCTTCATACTATTTAGCATGTCTGGTCAATACATGGCTTCATATTAAGTAGCGTGCCATTTTGGATGACAGTTATATAGTATAACCCTAACCATTACCTTAACATATTTATTTCCTCCAGCACCACATCCACCCCTGCCCGGCGTGCGCCCTGGTGTTCCGGGCTTCGGAACAACGCCCCCCAGTGTTTCCCCGTGTCCCTGCATCGACCCCTCCATCTCTGGACGGCCGCTGGGTGAGCCAACGCTGCGAAGCCCGGCCCGCCGTCCTCTTCCTCACCCGAGACTTCACCTTCCGCCCAGATGAGCACTCCTGGGAAGGCTTCTACCGCCACTACTCGGACCCCTCCTGCAGCCAGCCCACCTTCACCCTGCAGGCCTCGGGCCACTACGCTCAGGGAGACCCCTCGGCCAAGGTGGCGGGAGGCACCGAGTTCATCTTCAAGGTGACCTGGGTCAGTGTCACCATCCTGGAGGGGGCCACGGCCAGGGTGCTCAACGAGACCCGGCGGGGAAGCTGCGGGAAGGCGGGGGGCTGGGAGGTGGGGGTGGAGCAAGACGTGACCCCCACGGATGGGTGTACCATCCTGGGGATCAAGCTGCCGCACAAGGAGTACGAGCTGTTCAAGACGGAGATGGACCATCGACGGCGCCCTCTGCTGTTCATCGGTGAGAGGCCGACGGATGGCTCCAGCCCTGACCGGCCCCAGAAGAGGCCCACATCTTACCAGGCCCCCATGGTGCATTGTGGCGAGGAGGACGCCCCCACGTCGTATCACCACACCAACCAGCTCAAGCTAGCAGCTAGTGGAGCCAAGAACCTGCCATGGCAACCAAGCTTTGTCCTAGTCCTGGTCTCTTTAGTGTGGGTTTGATGCTGTGTGTTCTAGAGACAAACTGAACGATGGCGGAACTGCTCACAGTGTATGAGGAAGCTCCATGTGCTCCTCCTCAATATCAAGATAACGGCAGACCACATAATAGATGGCTTTTCAGGAGAGAATGATTTGTAAAGGATGGTACTCTAACTATGTTCAGCAACCTGAACAAGTCAATCATATGACAATGACATCAGCAGTTTTGATGCTCTTGACGTTGTGTAAAAGTAAACTGATGAACATTCAACAAGTGTCAACAACTGTCATTCCGATGGTATTCCAGTGAACAATATGTACAAGAAAACTGTACATACACTGACTGTGTATAGAAGTTGCATATCTATCATATTATATACCATACATGCATCACTTTGTTTTCTTTTACACCAGAGATGCCTTTTGGCAAATGCTTAAGACTCATCAGAGCTCCTTTCTCAAAATAGTTATTTTCCCTTCAAATTACATAATGTAGTATATTTTCTAATAAACAAAGGACAAAAAAAACAAGACCAATATTGACCAATAAATTCAACCGACATTCAAATGGACTTCAGATTGTGCAAATCAGGAACTGGATATCAAAGAGGAAACACAAACGTGTGTCTCATCAACAGCTCCTAATCTAATGTGTTCATTTTTGATGGAGGAAAACCACACCTGACAAGTGCACTAATTGGACCCTAGTTTACAATGCTATCCTACAAACCATATTTATTGTCATTGTTAAATTAATTGTTATATTAAAAGGGAAGATATTGCTGTAATTATTGCATTGTTTGTGTGTTTTTAAATGTTATTTACAGTCTGTCCTGCTTCTTTCTCGTATTTCTAAATATCTACATCTATCATATTGATTTACTAACCAGCTGCATGAAAAATCATTTTTATCATGGTACATTAAAGTCAATCTTCTAAAATAAAAAAGAGCTGGCTGTGAAATTAATAATTAATAATGATTGTGACATGAATAATAATGAATCATAATAATAATAATAAAGAATATTTAAGAATTGAGTGTGAAATATTCATCCTTAAGGCGAAACAGTCACTTCAGTACTACAGTAAATGCTGGATTCTCCAATCTAACAGGCTTTCCAAACAAATGGTCCAAGTTTGAAAGCCCAGATGCTAGACATGAGTGCTTCCATGTGAGAACTAACTGTCATCTGGCTCACACAAGACGCATTGCTATCTAGCTCTAACTTCTGGAGCATAACTCACTGAGTAAAACACAGAGTCATATCTGGTTGGAGGCATTTGATTAGAATGCTCACAGTTAAGCCAGCCTATAACACAATGTACCCATACTCTGCAAAAGGAAAATTATTGCGATTTGTAAATAATGTAGATAATATTTTAGCTAGAAGATAATTTGTAATAGACAGGAAACTTGGGTAACACTTTATAATAACTGTCATGAATTAACAATAAATCATGTAACTAAACTTTTAAGTATTTCATTATTTGTAAACCTTTATAAACAATTATAAGCATTATAACTGTATGATGTATGACGATTTATACTGAACAAAAATATAAACGCAACATGTAAAGTGTTGGTCCCATGTTTCATGAGCTGAAATAAAAGATCCCAGAAATGTTCCATAAGCACAAAAAGCGTATTTCTCTCAAATGTTGTGCACAAATTCGTTTAAATCCCTGTTAGTGAGCATTTCTCCTTTGCCAAGATAATCTATCTCTCTGACAGGTGTGGCATATCAATAAGCTGATTAAACAGCATGATCATTACACAGGTGCACCTTGTACTGGGGACAATAAAAGGCCACTCTAAAATGTGCAGTTTTGTCACACAACACAATGCTACAGATGTCTCAAGTTTTGAGGAAGCGAGCAATTGGCATGCTGACTGCAGGAATGTCCACCGGAGCAATTGCCAGAGAATTGAATGTTCCTTTCTCTACCATAAACTGCCTCCAACATCGTTTTAGAGAATATGGCAGTACGCCCAACCGGCCTCACAACCGCAGACCACGTGTAACCACGCCAGCCCAGGACTTCCACATCCGGCTTCTTCACCTGCGGGATCGTCTGAGACCAGCCACCCAGACAGCTGATGAAACTGAGGAGTATTTCTGTCTGTAATAAAGCCCTTTTGTGGGGAAAAACTAATTCTGATTGGCTGGGCCTGGCTCCCAAGTGGGTGGACCTATATGCCCCTGCCCAGTCATGTGAAATCCATAGATTAGGGCCTAATGAATTTATTTCAATTGATTGATTTCCTTATATGAACTGTAATTCAGTCAAATCTTTGAAATTGTTGCATGTTGCGTTTATATTTTTGTTCAGTATATAAAGCATTTATAATGGCTTATTAATAAAAGTTATTATAAAGTGTTACTGAATATTTTGTGTAGATTTAAAATTTAGAGTAAATTGTGCATTGACATAAATGAGACATTTTAGTGAAGGTTTGAGGTGCATGCATGTTTCTCAAGTTGAGATTCAGACTGAATGGACTGAGAATGCTCACTGTGTTCCTATTTATTTAACTATGGGTCAGAGGAACTCTAAATAACTGGTTGCAGAACGTTCCTCTCTCCAAACTTAGATGAGCTGAAGTTGAAACGTCCAGGCACTTTCCGAAGTCCACTTCAAGAGTTGCACTGTACAATCTACTGTCAGTATTCACCTCTTTCCAGGATATTTATAGTTCCAGTGATGATTATCATTTTGCGTTGGTAGTTGACCATTTCTATTATTTTTAAGTCAGCATTGGAGTAATAAAATAGGAAAAGACTGCGGTTGTTCTGTGAAAGAACGGACGAAAGATTGTAGCTGGCTCCAGTGGTGCAGTCAGAAAAAGCCAAGGAGGAGAAGAGGCATATGAGTCACTTTCAAAGACAACATACTGTTCAGATTAACTCCTCTCCTAATGGTGATTGTGACTGCTAGCCCCATGAGGTCATCTTTCGGGTTTGAGAAAGTGTACTCCAGGCTTGGATTGAAAATCTAACGAAAAACCAAGGGGGGGGAGGGAGACGGAAGATGACTGGCATTTATCAGAACACTAACGTGCAGGATTGTCATTAAATGGACTCTAAAGCCTCCTAAATTCACATTCCACCACTGGGCCAATAACAACACATGGATCCACCATGGTTATGTTCCAGGATGGCTGGGTGGAGGGTGCTGATGACTGAGGAAGGGCAGGGAACGACTGCTTTTCATAGTCTGTTTGCGGTTTCAGTTGCGCGCCATAAAAGCTGAGCGTCAGGCAAGGGCGAATTATGGGCCAACCTGTTTGCGATCAAACCAGTTGCTCGTTAAAGGCATCCATTAAACAGAAATTATAAAAGTGCTTATTTTAACTGCCCCCAATTTGGTGAAACAACGGAGCGTCGACTGCTTCCAGGGACATGTCGCTGTGTCCCATCGCGGAGTTAGTTGAATGGGATGTTCGTTGAGCAGTTGACTTTGGACGAACGTTTAGCCAGTGAGTATTGTTAGCAAAATCAGAACCAAAACCATTGTAGTGCCATTGTACCTGATGCACAATGCCAATCTAAACATGTACTCAGACATTCAATTATCTGGAGAGCTTTACCAACTGTGGGAAAGTCTGGATTCTGAAGTGGGGTCTCTGAAAAGTGTCATACTTCCTGCTCCATAAAATAAGTAGAAAGGAGGCAAGCCAAACAATGCTGAGTAAGGTTTCCTTTCAGAGAAACAGGGTTTCCAAACCTCAGACATTTCGGTGGGTTTGTCTTACTAATGCCCTGTAAGAGAACACTTGAACCAGTCTTTAGAATGTAGACTACAGAGAAAATGGACAGCAAGGGCCAACGTGCTGAAATTGTTTTTGGAGCATCTCACCTCATCGTATGGATATGGATGGCAGCCTTTACCCTGTTATATATATAATAGAGCCCATACATTAACCCTCGCTGCAAAGCCAAACTGGTGAAAAGCTTTACATCACTGTTTCCACCCATGACTTCAATAGGCTTCCTCTCTCACACGCTCGCTCTCATTTCAAGCTCTGTTAAGAAAATCCCATTCTTTTTGTGCGTATATGAGCTACATCTGCCCCATAAAAATGATATCAGCTGTGCGTTAGCTTCTCTGGCTCTGAGAATGCATCGCTATTATGAAATGTTAACTCCTTTCCTCTTCGAAACAAATAAAGTGCTGTGTACGACCACAGATCTGCTGCATTATGGGTACTGTACTATAGTCCCATCTGCTGCCATGAACAGGGGCCTGTATATCAGGACCTAATGTTCATCTGGAGAAATTGAGGAGAAATCCTCATTATAATTTTTTTAACGTTTTACCCCTTTTCTCTCAGATTTCGTGATATCCAATTGGTAGTTACAGTATTGTCTCATCGCTGCAACTTCCCTATGGACTCGGGAGAGGCGAAGGTCGAGAGCCATGCGTCCTCCGAAACACGACCCTGCCAAGCCGCACTGCTTCTTCACACACTGCTCGCTTAACCCGGAAGCCAGACGCAGCAAACACCGTCCAACTGGCGACGGTATCAGTGTGCATGCGCCCGGCCCGCCACAGAAGTCGGTAGAGTGCGATTGAAGGACCCCTAAAACAGCTACTGTTTCTAATGGCAAGGCTCTATACCACATCATCTGCACCTAAGAGCCAGCACAAATTCCTGAAAATGTTACTGGAAAAGCTACAGCAGTTATTGTTCTCCCCCCCCCAAAATACAATGAGTGCTACTTGTTATGACTCCAACAGATCTGGCATACTCCTGCTCCAAATCCTATTTAGACAGTAATGGTCCCATGTATCAAAATTGTAACACAGTCTTTGCTTGACCATATTTACAGGTTGAAATGAGTTGCATCCAATCGGCTTCCTTGTCAAGACAAATATTTCTGCATTGAGGGCCATTCAAAAATGTTCAGGGTTACACTTATGTCTGCAAAGGAAAACAAATAAAAGCTCAACATATGCTGGTTTACTTGTTGCTCAAACTATTAGAAGCAGGAAGGTGGATTATTTTCCCCATGTGCTTG